ATTTCTTATTTAAAATTTTTGCACTGAAATTACACTGTTGCTTTGCAATGTAGTACTCTTTATTCTTTATTACTACTTTTTACTCATATCAGTTTGATATTCATGACATTATTGTCTATTTATTCATTAATAAAGGTTCTGATTTAAAGCACAGAAGTTACTTAGTTTTTCTGCAACATGGTTATTTTATTATTTCAAGATTTATATGCACAAATAGGAGTGCCAGAAAGTGAAATTTAAAAATAAATACATAAAATAAAAAAGGAGTAATCTGTGCACTCAGTACACAAAGGAAAAGCATATTTGTTAAAAATTTTGCTGCAAACTAAATTTAGCAAAAAATCAAAATCATGCGGCATCATCTGTAAATACTTTCTGAATTGTACCATGTCTTATATACGCAAATCCCAGAGCACGGTATTACAAAGCCACTATGAATTTCTCGTCATTTGACCCAATTCCTGGTCCAAATGCATTTTCCCCCCTTCTGTAGCAGTAGCTAAGTTCAAAATTGTAGCTGTATCTATAGTAGCAATTTAAAATAGTCATCCATTATTTTGACTATTTGACAACACCGTAAGCTTTGTTTACAAATTGTAGACAATGTGACGCTGTAGAGGACGGGAACACTTCCTTTCATAGCAATTGGCTGAGTGAATTCCTGTACTAACGAGAAAATCGTTCCTTGGGGACAGGTGAGCTATCTCAGATATTGTCGGCCAGCTAAGTCGGCAGAGAAAATCGCTACGTGTAGACAGGCCTTTAGAGTTTTGTTACATGAGAATGTGAGTTAAAAGACTCTGGGAGAATTTATGGCTTTGAGTGGCCATGAACGGTGTAAATTAATGAGAATAATATTGTCATATTACTACAGTCCACTGTTCCCGAGTATATTATAGTCTAAGTGCATGTGTACAACATCCGTTCACAAACTAGCAACTCTAAATTCTTGAACTGTACATTATTTAAAATAAACTTTTAAATACTACGTACTTAGTTGAATATGTCCTTTATTCTTGTGTTGAGGATAATATGCTTTGAAACTTGTGTAGCCTAATTAGGCAATTAAGTGGGAGTCAAAGCTAATTAAAAAGCAACTAAAACATATCCTTCTTTAAAGGAATCAAAATAAGTCATTTTTCTCTTAGTTAGCAAAGATTTATTCTCTCATATTTGCCAATAAGAAAATGGATTTGAATAATTTTAAAGTAAAATTATATTCTAACAATGTTAAATAAAATTTTTTTAGTGCTATGTTCAACTGGTCCATTTTAATACGTAGGTCAGCCAGAAAGTTTGTTGCACTCCTGCGTAAATATGCTCCGTCTAAGACTATTTGGATGACACCGTGTGGCAACACTTCAGACATGTACCTTTATCGCGTGATGTAGCGACTTCCCCGAGGAAAGTTTAGTTTTTCTGATAATCAGTCGCAAACATGTCTCGACAGCTGCAAATAACGTCCAAATTGAAAATGCATGCAGTTTTTTTTTTTTTTTTTTTTTTTTTTTTTTTTGGCAAAAAGGTGCAACTGCACTGAAATTTATAGGCAGTTGCATGAAGTGTATGGTAAAATGCAATGTCACGTCAAGCTATCGCGAAATGGTGCAACATGTTTGAGAATGGACGTACAGATATTGACAACGATGAGCGCAAGGGAAGGCCATCAACTGCAACAAATTCGGAAATCGCTGCTCGTGTGAATGAATGCATTCTTTGCAGTTGCATCACAATAGACGAAATCTCAAATGAACTGGATATTTCTCATGGAAGTGTGCATAAAATTATTGTCGATCACCTTAAATTTTGTAAAGTTTGTGCTCAATGGGTGCCATGTCTATTGACGGAGGAACATAAAGGAAAGCGTTTCGAAAATACATTTGCATTTCTGCAACAAAACGGAAGATTACCAAACGGAAGAAAATGAGCTTTTGGACAAAATTGTGGCTGGAGATGAAAAACTCGGATTCACTATTTCTCACCTGAAACGAAATGCAGCTCGCTCGAGTGGAAACATTGCAGTTCCCCGACACGAACAAAGTGTCGAACTGTTCTATCTGCAGGAAAAGTGACATTGACGCTGTTTCTCAACAGAGAAGGCTTGGTGCATACAGAGTTCATGCTGAAGGGTGCTACAATTAATGCACCTTCTTATTGTGAAACACTAAAACGATTGTGACAATCACTTAAAAATCAACGGCCAGGTAAACTGTCAAACAGCATTGTGCTCCTGCTCAACAATGCGAGAGCGCATGCAGCAAAACAAACGTATGACCTTCTGAAAAAGTTTAGGTAGGAAGTGTGGAATCACCCTCCTTATAGACCAGACCTTTCACCTCTTGACTTCCATGTGTTTGTTCCCATGAAGCAAGAACTATCAAAGCACCATTCAGATACTGAAGTGAAAGCTGCAGCCCAACAATGGTTATCGGACATTAGATGGAATTTTTTTTCTTGGCATCGAAAACCTTATATCATACCTCGATAAATGCTTAAATAACGGAGGTGATTTAGTTAAAAAATAGACTTGGAATGAATGGAACTTTAAGATATAAATAAAGTTACTGTAAAATTTTGCTCCTGTTCTGTTTTCTTAGGCAGTGCAACTAACTTTTTGACTGGCCCTTGTACATGCACAGACAGATAGGATTACGGATAAGAAATGTATTTAAATTTTTTCTCAAGTCTTAGACTATTTGTATTTTATAAGAAACTAAAAGGTAATGTTCTCATTTTTTTCTTCATAGAGTTTGATTTTACTATCACAGGAATTTTTAATATAAGAGATTAAATTTGAATTTTTAAATATATAGAGTATTAAAAAGTTCATTGAATCTTTAATTTATCACAAACAAAACAAAATAAATAAATAAAATTAAACTCCAAAAGCAAATGTAATTATTTTAATGTATTTACAATTATATCTGTCATCTAATTTCATCCTCTTATATTGCTCTTGAAACCCCCCCCCCAAAAAAATCATCCAAATGATTAACCATTAGTACTTAAAAAGCATATAAAAATGACCTTGCAGATAAGCAAAAATTGTGAATTTTTTGTGAAACTTTCCCTTGGTTATGTAAGGTTAATCGAGATTACATTTATATGCATTATGCATGGAAGACAAATTCCCAAATTGCATGCATGCCAATAATAATAAAAAAATAAATAAATAAAACTTGCATAGCAAACTTTTGAAAGTTTTTTTTTTTTTTTTTTTTTTTTTTTTAACTATATTATACAATAAATTGTTCTACAGATAAAATAAGTTTCAGTTGGTTCTATAATTTTCCTGAAGTGCTTATTTTTATGCTGTATTCCTAAATCAAATATATATTTCCAACTTTAGTAAGTGAAAATAAGCATACAACTAATTTCTACCTGTGAAATAAAAGAACTTTTGCATAAATATGAATTAAAAGTATTAATAATTATATTTATTCTTCATAAAGTTAAACATCATTAGCAATTAGTCTGTTATTTTCAGTTTGAGGTCAAAAATTTCCACTCTTAATTGAAAAAGAACTAGTGTATTTTTTAAATAATAAAGAGATGGTTCTTGATAAAAAAAAAATTTGGTTGCCACAATGAATACACTGAAGCTCAAAATTCATTATTACTAATGTTTACTTATCAGTTTTTCTTACTACTGAATAGAAAGAAAAATTCCCTAGTTCCATTTGACAGTTTTATTACTTTATTAACCATGCACTGGACAAGTTATTCTATTGTAAAAGAAATCACATCAAAGGGAATCAGCACCATTTTAAGTAATAAAATAAATTTTTTTACTGGCAATATTTAATATTTAATTTTGCCTTGCATTTTTTTTTTTTTTTTTTTTTGAGTTTTTTTATATGCAAACTAATTTACCTGGTCACTTGCAAACTTTTAATTAGTGCAAACAGAAGGTGCATCGGAATTATCTTATAAAATCAAAATCTTGGCCATGCATTCTTACTCTTATGTGTTCTGAATTTTTATACATACAAACTCGCACACATTGAAGCTCTTACATTATTAAAGCAAAAAGGTATGAAACATGATCATTTGCAACACCAGCTATGGATCATTTTATATCTTTCAGATGTAAAATAAATCTGTAATACCAAATTCAAATTATTTGAAAAGTAATACCTCTGCTCTTGTTAATATATTATTATTCTCCTCACGTTATGGAATGCTTATTACTTCAGAAAACATACTTTGTGTGTGTATATATATATATATATATTCATGTAATTCTTAAAAGTGTATGTGGTCTTGATTAAATAGCATGTACGTTTCAAATGGTAGAAGGCTCCATTGTTAAAAGCTGTCTTGTTCTCATTTGATAAAAATGAATTAAACTTATACTATTTCCAGCTACAAATTCATTATTAGTGAGTGTTTTAATATGTTTAATATATCTACTACCCCCAGATCTTCTGAAAATTTCGCTCATTCAACTGACTGTTAGAGAATCATTATTGATCAAAAGAGTAAAAGCAAGTTTTTATATGTTTAATTTGCAGTTTGTCTTGACACAATGACATAGCCTTGGGCCTGGGTTTGAATCCTGAAGAAGCCGTGAAGAGTATATACTCTTTATGGCATAGATGTACTTAATATACCACTAAGCTACTTTTGAGCAAAAAAGAAAGGTGGGAGAGCTTTTGATACCTCTCCCTGGATATTTTCTTTCAAAATTAGGACACATACTGTCACCTACAAAGTGCCCAAAGCCTAAACCAACATCAAACACAACCCTACAAACTTGGCTATGATAAAATTCATGAACTTGATCTGATGTCTGTGTATTTTTCCTTTTTAACACCTTAGAGACGATTTTATTCTACTTTCTGACTGTTTTTTGCCAATTATGAATGCATAACTTTTTCTATTAGAAAGCTTTCAACTGATATTACTATCTCCTAAAAATATGCACATATTATGGGAAAATACAGAAATTTCATGATAAATACAAAAAGTTTGGGGAAACAAAAATAAAAGAATATTACATGTTTGATGAGATGGCGAGCACATCTTGAAGCCATTAATGAATTCAGTATGCTTCTCAAACCACATTTAAGGTACTCTTTGACAGCTTTCCTCCACAGAGGAACTGGTTCTTCATTACATATTATACAGGTGTAAACTACTGTTTCAGGAAGGCAAGACAGAATTTCATATGCTTCATCTAAAATAGATGTTAAAGAGAAAAAAAATCAGTGCCCATGTTTATTACCTAATAAAAGCAAATGCACCTGATCTTTGGAATTACTAAACTATATTCAAAATAAGAATGCAGTTTAAATTTACCAGTTATGCTGTCACATTTTGCATGAACCCATCTGCTACATTTATAACACTGCACCATCTATGCAAAGAAAAGGAATGAATTTGAAATAAATTCAGGTAAGATATGAACGAAAAAAAAGTGTCTAAGAATCATTTTCAATTAGAAAACAATTGTTATGTAATGTTTTCACGATGAGGATCTGTGGAAATAGTTTTATGGCATTCTTTTTTGGGAAAAAAATTAAACTAATAAATTTTTAAAACCTTGCTTGAAGAACCTTAAATCATTTCATTAAACTCCTTAGTGAACAATTTCATTAAATTTTAAAATGAAGTGATGTTAAGAATGACATTATTTTATATTTACAAAATTATAGATTGCAACACATTATATTTAGTGGTGACCTGGAATTGGAATTTACATAATGAATGGAAAAATTATGTGACCAGCTACACATGCATAAATAGCATGTCAAAAAATGTAACTGATAGTTTAATTTTTAATTTCATGCATAAATTTATTTACAAATTATTATAACTGTAATGCTCGAGACAAAAATGAAAAGTGTTTACTGCACTAAATATGACATGATAAACTATACTGAAATTATTACAATTTTAAGTAGTTTGAGGTAAAACAAACCACCAATTTTTAACATAAAACTATGAAATTCATAAAAGAATATTCAATAACATTTAGTTATTTTGGATTCCTAAACCAGGGTTATTTTCGATATAAAAGTCAATTTTCTGTTTGAAACAGTATATTCTCTTGTTAATGCTCATATGCTAAGAAAGAAAAAATTTTCAAATGTTTTGTGCTTTTTAAAAAAATCAGTACAAGTGTTTTCATACATCTATTGAATGTATTGTACCATTAATGTTCATGTTCCTTGATTTTTTTCTAGGTAAAAATTAGTTAATGTTTATAAAAATTTAATATATAAAATGTTGTTCTAATATTATATGTAATAATTACTCCCTTTCTGAATTATGATCTGGTGAAACAATAAATTTCATATTAATATTATGAACAGCGTTTACATGTAATTTAATATCTTGTGGTTGAAGGCATTTTAATAAGTCAAAATGTGTAATATAGTTGTGTTCTATGGAAAACTTACTTCTGAGTCATAATCATTTTCTTCATAACATTTATGACACACTGGGCAGTAATTACCTAAAAAATATATTAATCCTATTAAGGATGTGTACAAATAAATCTAAAGTACTATGAAAGAAATTTCTTAAAAAAATTGTCACATTTCAAGTTTTAAACTGTGCTTCAAAAATTAAATCTTCACAAATAATATGACTTTTATTTTACATATTCATGTGCATCTCATTTAGGCTAGTAAATCTACATAAATCATTATTTTAAGCAAGAAATCAATTCCATATGTTTTAATTCAAGTCCTGATTTTCTTTAATACATTATCTCATGGCTTGGTTATTTACTTTTGTTTATATGCAACATGTTATGTGTAAAATTTTTGAGATAAGGAAAATTAAGAATTTAATTCTATGATGATTCTGAAACAATCAATAGAACTTATTGCATAAAATCTAAATGTTGCCTGTATTTAACACAAGTTATTTTTGAAAATCTGTTAGCAGAATTTTCAACAGGAAAGCATTATATATTCAAAGTGTAAAAGCAAGCTTTTTATAAATTGAATTTAAAGTTTGTCTTTAAGTAGGCAACTAATATTTCATTTTTGAACATTTTAGATTTCCTAAATTGATGAATAATTAAGAAATTCTACAGTTGAAATCCACAAATGAATCTGATTTTTAGAATGCAGTTTATACCTGAAAAAGTTACTTTTCAATTATTATGTTACCTAATATACAAAATTCTTGTTCAGAAGCTTAATGAAAATTTGAATTACTTATTTTTCTGTCAATTACTTTAAATAATATATAGCTTATTATTCTTCCTTGTGTAAATAACATTTCAAATATGAATTGCATTTATAAAAAAGTATATCTGTTTTGTAAAAGGTCAGTAGTGTATAAGAACAGGTCAGATCGGAAAAACATATAATTAATGCATTAAATTCGATTTCATTCTTAAAAAAATTCCTAAATGATAAAAAATGTGCAATTTGATATATATGAGAGGATCTGAGAGTGTTATTTACATTTCTAAAAATGCAATACAATATGAAGTGACAAAAGTGAAATCAAACTACACAGCAGTTTTATCTATGAAGTAGATTTTCAATCATTTATGTTTAAAATGCTTCCTTCAAAGTTGTTTCAATATTAAAACTTTTAACTAAAAATACATAATTAGCATTTCCTATTATTAGCACAAATACTAATAAATATGTATTTGCTTACATATTTATTGTTATTTTTACTCATTCTTTCCTGTGTATCTAGATATCCCACACAAAGAATTAATAATTTCACATCTCATTAGCTACGAGTATTAGTATCTTCATTTATTTAGTTATTTACATATACTATTATTTTTACACATACCTTTTCCTCTGTACATACACAAAACTTGGATATTCTTTTCTCTTTAATTTCCTTGTCTTTTAAGAACATTATTTAGCATTTATTCAGAAAACACTTGACCAATATATTAAATGTCATATTTCTAATTTCACATACATATTTTAACCTGTCAAGACTTGCTATTTATCAAATAAAAGTAAACAGCATCATTGAAAATTAAATCATTGCAATTGTAAATGTAATATCCATTTTATTAGGTTACCATCTTATTGTGCAAATATTTAATATGAAACTGTAACAAAGTGATGCAATGTTCAATTTTAGCTATTTAAAATTACTTTAAGAGCATAGTGTAGAATGAATAAGCAGATAAAGAGGAAGAAAGTACTTCATAAGACATTGAAATGTTAATAAATAAAATCTTTTTCAATGTAATTATGTTGAAAATTAAAAAATATATATATTTTTGTGCTTTCTTATGTATCAATTACGTCCTATTTTCTTCACTTATGAGTTTAAGTTTTAAAACTAGTTATGTTTGTTGCATGCCACAAAACTTAAAAACCAGATTTCTATAAAAACACATGATTAAACTATTAAAAACACAAATGAATTAATTAATATGTGATAAAAGATATTCATATCAGTAATTTTAACAAAATACTGAAGTTACAATTTATTCTTCATGAAGCAGTTGTGTTGATGTGTGAGTCTATGTTGCAAAGGTGTGTAAGTTTTGGAAAGAAATATAAACAAAGCAAAGAAGCGTTTATAAACAAGCTTTTATTACTTAAAAGCACTCAATACCTTTATCAGTTAACTTTGCACAGGATTGACATAGAAGTAAATCAAAATTCCATAACAGACCAGCACCAGATGCTGGAGATGTTGTACCACAGCTTTTACATTTCACACATTTAGGGCACATCTAGAAATAATTGGGGGAAAAAAAGAGTTAATATAACTATTTAGAAGTAATAGGGAAAATAAAACTATTAAATATCACAGAGTAAAACATTGAATCTTTTGATAGGTTAAATGTGGCACCAGCAAGGGAATTCAAACTATTAAAAAACATGTAACAGAAAAGTAAAGTAAAAAAGAAAAATTTAAATTTATATAGTAAAAAGCCAAGTTCTCCGAAGACATATTTCTTTAAACCTCAAATAAAACCTATATAACAGGGGTAGCCAACTTTTTATATATACAACAGACTTTTTTTTTTCTTAAAAATTTGTGATATACCTATTAAAATCATATTCAAGCTTGTCTCTTATGTTCTAATAAGTAACAACAAGGGAAGAGGTATTATACCAACATATTGTATTAAAAATATTCATCAAAATTAGCTGCAGAAAAATTACAGATAAAATAATACCTTCATTCAGAAGCATTCGTAATTCACTGTGTATTCGTACAAAGATAATGAATCTTCAGTGTAAGAATCAGTAAATATGGAATGATGTTTAGTCTTTCTGAACTTCATTTAAGAAAAACACTTAACCCTTTGCGGCACAGTGTGTCCGGTCTGGACACACCTAAAAATTTCCTTCTGTACGCACAGAAAAATTGAATAAAAAAGGATTCATAGGTTACTATAGGTTACTCTGAACCTTCTTTATTTATAGTAGATGGCAGCTCAACACAAACCAGTCCATATATTTTAGCCATGTTTAGTTTTTTAAAACCCTCATTTTTCAAAGAAATCTTCCAGATTTGTTCAGGGTATGAAAGGAATTGTCTGAAAAGAAATTTCTATGTTATTTTTTTGGCTGTATGCTAGTCTCCTTATTCTATATTAGTTTTAAAAAATTTTCCTTTAAATATTCCTTAAATTAAACGGCGAGCCCTAAGTGTGCCCAGACCGGGCTCACCGATAATCTAGGACAACTGAGAGTCTGTATTCTTTGTTTCTCCGCATCTTCATCAGTCATTTCATTGACAACAATGCATGTTTCAGCACTCTTTTCGAAGTTCTATTCAATCAGTGTGCCACTCTAGGCACACCCACAGACTTAAAACAATAAGTACTATCTTCACAAAATTTTATTTGTGTACCTCCTCTAGGCCTAATTAGACCACCTATCTTTTTTTTTTTTTTTCCTATCAAAACTCTGACTTTAAAAGGTAGCATGCCGGAAAGGGTTAACAGAAGGATCTACTTACTTAATGCATAAATATACAGATCTGAAACTACAGCAGATACATTCACTACATTTGATTGTACTAGAATACTTTTCTAGAACGATATATTTCAAAAATCTTCTGTAAGTTCTCTAGCTTGTAAGGTTACATCAATTTGTAGAATAATAAATTCCTAATGCATCTTTCAATATTAAATGTGGCACAATTTTTTTCAGAGATATCTTTAACATTTAAATCTTTTTTGAAAGGAAAAGATAGAAAAGACACTGAGACTTTTCAAAATTGTAAAATCTGATCTCAAAATCTTCAATCATCCTTTTAATTTCTGCAATGTATTTTTCAATATAATAATTGCAATTTTGATGTATTATGTAAATGATCATACATACTTGGAAAATGATTCAAATCATTTTGTTGGAAATCTTTCTAATAGAATACAAACATTTGTTCTGTATGCATTAATGCTACTAGTCATTTCAAGTATTGCATATCTTTTTCTCTGGTGGATGTAACCTCAAACTCATTTATAAAAATTTTTATGAAACACTAAATCTCTGGACCATGTTTTCTTCTTTAAATTTGCATATTCATAATCTTGATAAAGACTTTTTTAACTTCTGTTAATAAGTCACAAAATTATTGCAATGATTTACTTCTACTTAGCCTCCTTACATTGGTATGTAATAATAATCTTGCATCTCCTTCATCAAGTTGCAATTTAAGAGACCTTCCTTGAATGGAATTAACAATTTTAAATGCTATATAGATTTAAAAAAATAGAGGAATTCATCATTTTGGCATAAATAAAGTTACAGAACCATTTATGCAATGCAGTTTATGCAATCCAATATAGTTATAAATCCATTTATATGGACAATTACTAATGCTATAGTAAAAGTAACGATGTTGTTACTGAAATTAATTTTAAAATGGTAGTTCCAAATTAATGCCAAAAGTTCTTAAAAACTTGAATATATCTTCACCTTCACTCCTCTCTTTCAAAGAAATTATACCAAGCAATTCCCCCAGATGTACAATCTTTAAAAATGATACAAATAAAAAGGCAATTCTGCTGTGTCATTTATGTCTGTTCACTCATTAAACTGAAGGGGGGGAACATAAATATCTATTCATGCCTTAATATAATTCTTCTGTATTTCCATTTATTTTCTCAATCTGCCACATTACAGTATTCTACGCAGATTTTTAACTCAGCAATAAATTCAATCTTGTTCATAAAGTCATTACAAAGGAAAGCTGACATTTTCAACAAAGTTTCTTATGTAAATTTGCTGTCAGAAAATAGTTTAATTGTTTTCCTTTCAAAAGATGGCTTGCTTTGATTCGCACATGATTTCAACATGGTATTTTTAAAAACATGTTATTGAGACTTTTCTATGGTCACAATTTTGTGGATAATATGTTTGATATTTATTATGTAAAGTTAAAAAATATGTTTCCAAGTAACAGTTACAAAGGCACTGCATATTAAGCAAAAATATTTTTCCTTCAACATTATAAAAAAGTAATCAGGTTCTCATTCTTCATGGGGGGGAGAACTAGTTTTTTCGCTTATTTTAATGCATACTAAAATGCAGAAAAAATATACACGAAAGTACGTATCAAATAGAAGCAGAATTAAGAAAACTGGCACTTTCTAGAAATATTAATAGAATGATATCAGTGTGATATCAAAGTAGTCATGTCCATTTGTTTCTATGAGTCAAGACGCGTTTGCATGTCGAAATCATCTCCTGCTGTGATTGACAAAAAAATCGCTTTGAGACTTGCCGGTTGATCGTGATCAACTCATTGACCATTTCTAACGATAGCATTTTTCTGACAAATTATAAAACAGTAAACTATTTGCCCTCCCCCAAAATCTAAAACTACTAAACACTTGTGTTCCCTTGGAAATAAATGTGATACATATTAATAATCTTGTAAACATGCATCAGCAAGTGATAACATCTGTCACTCTGTAGGGTTCATTTTAATTTGCTATTGTTGTTTTAAATTAAATGATTTCCCTGTCAAGTCTCATTTCATTTCCCTGACAGAATGCTAATTTCCAGCACATGCAATATTCAAATTAGGTAAAAAGAAGGAAGTGTTTAAAGGGAGGTTTTTGAAGGTGAAATCAAGAGTGTGTTCACTCTGCTTAAAGGCCACATTACTAACTTTGATTCTCCAGCAATTAAAGTTATACAGCATTGAGTTATTCTTTCCATTAGCCCTATTTTACAGTTATTTTGGTCAAAGCCAACTGGCACGATAGTTGAACTGTAAAGCCGTTAGGCTGAACTTAAACTTGATTAATTTTCAGTTTATCCATTATTTTAATTTAAGCCAAAAGTGTTGGCTTCTGTATGCATGAGTTGGGTTGACTGTTAAACTGTTACTTAATAAAGAGTTTACACCCTTCTCCTGATTTTGTAGTACTTTAATTTAAGCCAAAAGTGTTGGCTTCTGTAAGCATGAGTTGGGTTGACTGTTAAACTGTTACTTAATAAAGAGTTTACAAACTTCTCCTGATTTCGTAGTACTTTATAAATGATTCAGCAACAATTCAGTAAACAGTCTTTCAGCATCACATATATTTTATGTTAACAAAAAACACAGTGTTCCACTAGCATCTACATATTAAATACAGCCATGTGTCAGAAAACTTCAAGATTTACCTTCTCCCCCTCAACCTAGTAAGTTTTGCCAGCCACATTTAATCCCATGGAGAGATCTGGATTCATTGCCGACACCTTAAATCCTGCTATGAAGGCAGTAGTAACTTTTGATGCAAAAACTTCAATACTGAATTTTATTGAACAGTTAAATTCCCTCTTCCTACTGCATCAAATACCAGAGGCATAAAAAGTTACTATCAACACTGTTGCACCAAGCCTCCAAATGGTACAAATGCACTGGAAAGTGAGCCAGGAAGGTGAGACCAATACATTCAAAAAGTTTTAAAATGCTCTCATTAAAACGCTTCTCATTGTCAAGGATAGAGCCCAGCTCGAATTAGAGCTATTTAATAAATTCCAGATTAAAGTTCAGGACTTGACATATCTTATGCAAGGTCCAAATTTTTAATTTGTCGTATGGCAAGAGGCTGGATGAAGTAATTATTCAAGTTATTTTGCCATGATTACTACCCCAAATCCAAGATTATTTTTAGATCCAAAATCCAACAACATAAGGTTAGCCACTAAGTTCTAGAACTGGCGCTGCCCAGTCAGTATAGTGGTTAGGGAAGCTGACTGCGATACTGAAGGGCCTGGGTTCGAATCCCAGAGAAGGCATGGTTGTAACTGTCCGTCCCTTCATAGGAGGCGATGGTGGCCCACCTATTAGGTGCCTCCACAATAAAGAGACCACCACATCTAGCCTTGTATAGGTTAATGGACTGGGTTACACTGTAACTGTTCACAATCTGCGATTTGGAAAAAAAAAAAAAAAAAAAGTTCCAGAACTAATGCATGGCAGGAACACTAGGGTATGGAGAGTGGCCAACTGAGTTTAGGTTTTTGGCCAAAACCTCAGGAAGTCTGCAGTTTGAGGCAATAAAACAATCTGATAGTAGAAGTAAGGATTTTGCCGGGTGTAACAGTCACCAAAAGGGGGAAAAGAAAAATCAGGAAGATCAAGTTTTAAAGGCCAAGCATTCTTTATCATCAGCAAGGGAAGACATAGTAGCTAAATTTTGTCCTCAATTTCAAGACCCATATGCAACTGAAAAAATTAGGGAAGCAATAGTTTATCAAAAATATACAAATGAGAAACAGACAGTAGCAAATACATATCAAATTAAGCCCTATTATGATTGGACTAAAATGACCATTTTTAAAGATATTTTTCAGGAAGCTCAAGAAGAAAATGTTAATTCAATGAGGAACACCATGGTGGGAAAAAAGAATTTGAAAGTACAGGTGTTAGTCCAAAACAGAAAGGCAACTACAAAGACAGAGGACAAGCCGAAAAAGTAAGAAAACAACCAGAAACAAGAGGGGCCAAGAAAGAAGCCATGATGAAAAGGATCCAGTAGGAGAGGTAAACAAAGGCAAATGCGCAAACAGTTCAAGGGAAAGTTCCAGCGATAGAATCCAGGCACACCGATAAACCAACGCTGAACGTGCTAAGGAACAAGCGGCAAGCTGAACAAGTTTCCATAACTCAAATTCAACATGAAAATTTCATTGTTCCGGTATGCATGAAGTGCTAAAGGAAAGAATTTTAGGGCGTACAAATGAACAGATGAGATTGAGGAAAGTTTTCAACATCGAGGGTAGGTGCCAACAGTATGTTGCGGGCTGAAGAAGAAGAAAGGCACAGTAGAAGATGAGACTTAGCCCCATCAAAGATTCTGTGTTTACCAGGCAGATACCTATCCCACATGGAACGACTTCATGACCAAGATGCTGCAAGAATTTAAAAGAATAAAAAGATTTCTAGAAGGACCTGAGCTGAGGAAATATAAGAAGTTGAATTCTTATGCAGTTAGAATTTAAGTTCTTAATGAGGTCGTTAAGGATCTCCTTTTCATATACTTCAATTCTGAAGGGTGAAAACAGTAGGGTTCATTTTAATGTTCTAACTCATTATTTTAAGTAATCAAGCATCATTTCATTTCCGTGAAAAAATGAAAATTTCCAGCACACAGCATATATACAATTTAGATAGAAGGATGGAATTCTGCGGCGTTGAGTTAATTCTCATATTTAGGCTTGTTTATGCCAGCTTTGGTTAGAATCAGCTTGCATGATAGTTAAACTGTGAAGCCATTATGCTCAACTTAACTTCATCAATTTTAAGTTTATCCATTACCTTTTGATTTAAGTCAAAAGTGTTGGCTTTTGTAAGCACAAATTGAGCTTGCAGTTCTTTACAAGGATTATTAGTAGCTCTTTACAAGGCAATATTTCACTAAAGTCTTTCAATGATGCGTACATTTTGTTTGCAAAGAACAAACGACATTACAACTTACTGTGCCATAATTCATTAAATTCTAACTATAAATGCTTATTTAGTTTAGCTGATTTAAGCAGTGTTAAGATCTGCAACAGAATAAAATCTTAAAACTAAGATCTTCCACACGAATTGTCTTTTGGCTAGTGTATTTACTTCCCAGAAAATTAAATTCTTGCATATGAATTTGATCATTTTCATATTTAAGCTGTGCTAAATGTGGATTATTATGTAATATAGTTTTTTCTACATTATACACGTTTTCCAGAGAAATGTTCAATATTGCAATAGGCATGCTTTCTTATATAAAAAGATTTACTCACATCAAAATAGTCAGATAAAAGAAAAATTATGTTCTTGTTGATCCATAACTTGGACCTAGCTTTCTATTTTAATTGTTTAATCTTTGGCTTCTAAAATAATCGGCAAACTTTTTCTTTCTTACCAGGATCTTTAAGGCACAGATCAGCAGATTAATTCATATCAGATAAGATACCCCTTTATGACTAATGAAGTGTTGTTTCATTGATTATGGCAAAGCAGAAAACAGATATCTGCCTATGTGAAGGCCATTCTACTGCTAACTGGCTCATATTCAATACACTGATTGATGAGAAATGTTCATTTTAAAAGCAAATGTAAGAGATGGAAATCATGTTGTCAAAAATTGTTGATTTGTTGGCACTAGCCACGTGGATGGTCAACCACCCAAGTACTAAACACAACAGATACTGCATCATGCAAGAGCCTAAACCATTTAGCCACTCCATCCAAGTGAACAATGGCACAAATATATATACGTAAGAAATCAAAACACAGAGGGAAGGGCTACTGCAGATGGAAAAAACTGAATTCTTTATTAAATGTCATGAGTTAGAAGATGAGTAGCATATGGTCCTAGATTGATGTTTATATCTAAAAATTCATACTTATCAGGCGAAATTAGAAGATTTCTAAAAATCTGCAGAACAAAATTCAAAGCTAGAATCATCTTTTCTATCTCCTACTTGAATCAAAACTGTCATCATTTACCACCAGTTTTCTCATAAAAATCCACTAAATAATTACTATCCTGATCTGAGTAGTAAAGTATAAAAAAAAAAAAAAAAAAAAAAAAAAAAAAAAATCTGGCAAACAAAATTGTCAAGCAAGGATCTGCTTCTGATTATACACAAAGTATCCAACAAACAAGTCAACCTATGAAGTTAACCTTGTTTTAGCGGTAATTTTATAATGCATCTATTCAGCTATAGCGTTACAGCTATCAGCTACATGTAAGTTATTAAGCACTGAATGAAAAGCAAATCTCAGTAATGCAAATATATTATTGAGTAGACCACTTTTGATCAAAATTTTGTAAGTAAACCCCACCCCATTTATAACAAGAAATATGGTTTTATTTTTGATCACGTTGTAAGTATTCAGTGTATCTAGTTATTTCCAGTTATTTGGTAATGATTTCTTTCTTTTTGAGAACTTTTTCATGAAAACAGAGACTGATGATAAAAAATGCTTTTTCTATGCCTTTGATTATACAAGCATAGGAATCTGGAAAAATTTTGATTTAACTACTGGATATCAAACAGTAGTTACTTTATAGTATAAGATGTTACCATTGTATGTCATTTTGTTTTGTGAAAAAGCTGCATCTTAAACTACAGTGATATGTTACAGTAAAATTCAAACATTAAAGAGACATTAAAACACAGCCTGTACATAATGTTAAAAGCTTATATTATAAACTAGTAAATCCCAAAGCCTCAGGATTTTTCCACCAATCTGATGTAAAGAGAAAAAGTAGCTACTTTTTATTTCTATTTAAGATGAGCACTTGGCAGCAGTTCATAGACCGGTGTTTCTCAATATGTATCACAGCCTAATTCTTCTTAATAAAGTGGCTTGAAATAAGAATTCAATTTTTGTGCTTTTGTATAGTACCCTATACATATAAGTTCATTGTTAATAAATATGTTGCTTGGGAAATAATGCTATCAATTTCCCTCCTTTTACATATTGTCTTAATTTTAAAATTTGATTTTTTCAAGCATTTTAGCAGCCATAATTTTAACCACACTATATGTATTCTTTCCTGTAAGCAATTTATTATAATCTGAGGCTGAATGAATAATTCCCCTTAAGAAAGTCTATACCAACAATTCCCCACTGATTGAGAAACTCTGTCTCAGACAAACAAATGCAAGTAACTTTTTTTTTGGCACATAGCAAAATTTTATATTATTTACCTATCATTATAGCTTTAAAATTTCATAGCACAGCCTTTAAGAATCACTGCACATAACTACTAGTCGACTCTTTAGGAGAATTATAAGGTAAAAACCACATTTTGAACGTGTTGAATTATTTTACTGAATGGCAAAAAATTTCAATTCTAGAAACCCTCTGACCAACAGATTCAGTATAAAAGATATACATTTAAGACATACATCATTGCATAGAAAAATTGGCACCCTATTAATTAGTGAAAGAAACAAGTTAATTTGTTGTTTTTCTTGTGAACTATATCTTAATTGTTATGTGAAAAATATGTTTATGAACAGTTATGTTTAATTTATGAATATGGTACATATATGTTCCAACAATCATAAACATTACAGCAAATTAGCATTTTTGTAAGAGTTAAAGGAATACCATGACAATAAAAGAACTTTTTCCTTTTTATCATTTTGCATAGAGAAACAAAAATTGCAGATGCATGCAGCAAAAGTAATTAGATGAAAAACTTTAGAAATATTATTATTACACTACTTTAAAAGAGAATTTTATGACTACATCTAATGCTTAATTCTTACAATTTTTTTCAAGAAGGAAAAAAAAAAAACTTACCCAAATTCGTTTCTTTCTTGATGGTTTTGTTGGATAATGTGGAGTTAAACATTCTGAATGGTAGGTATTCTGGCACTTCTTACATTTTAGCAACTGTAAATAAATTACAAACAAATTACTGAATACAATATTACAAACTAATAAACAAAACTAATTAGTATTTGCATAAACTTAATTTTAGTACTTTCCTATACAAATCACATCACTGTCGTTGGACATTTTAATATAATACTGGGAATATGATTGATATATTATTGCAAATTACACTTTTGTTTCTATTAACAAGTAGCATAGTTTAAACAGCAATACTATAAGCATGCTGAAGTTCAGTTTATACTTTCACTTTCAGTAAATTTTCATGCAGTCAATATTGAATAACTTTCAATCACAAAAATAACAGACTTTAACAATGACCACTGATTAGCTAAATTATTTTGTTTTTCATTATAGGGTAAAAAATTACAATATACTCCCCCTCCAGTTTCCCATTATTTCAACATAGTAAAGTGATTAGACAATTAAGTTAATCTCACTTTAAAGACAAAATGAGAAAAAGGGTGGCCCTGGAATCTCGATGGACAACTTGAAAGAAAAGGGAAAAGCTTCTCCAATGGTGAAGGATTAATTTTCATGTCACAGAACTCATGCTATTAAGACATTATTGTTACAACGATTTAAAAAAAAAAAAAAAAAAAAAAAAAAAAAAAAAAGCTGCAATTCTAAGCAGTTTAGAGTTTTGAGCATATTTACTAACAGAACATTCAAAGAATTAAAAAAAGAAAAGTGGAATAGCTCCTTATTTTAAATAAAACAAAAAAAAAAAAAAAAAAAGTCAATTTATGTAAAATTAGTTTCATTCACACTACCATGTGTGAAAAGTGAAAATTAAAGGATAATGATAACCTTCATATGACTACTATTTTAAGTTCAATAATTAACTAGCTCCACCAATGATTGAGAGATAAATACTACTGAATACCAAAGACTGTCTGCACTGCAGTTTTCCCTACATGTAACATGGATATGAACCAGTTTCAAATAGCCTAACCAATGAATAATTTGTTGCACATATTTTGTCTCCAAATGCATATTTTGAAATAATTAAAACACATAATTCTTAAAGTTCCATAAATTTTACTGAACTGAAAAGTGAACACCTGGGCTCAATTTCCGATAATTCAAGAAATGAATTGTGTAATTTTGAGAAAAGATTCTTGATTTCTGAAGGAGATTATTATGATGTGAAAAACCTTCATAGGTAAACAGACTTTCCTTTCTTTTACTATACTGCAGTTTGTACTCGAACAGTCTTTGTTTTCATCATTAAACAAATTTTAAAGATTTAAAAAAAAAAAAAAAAAAAAAGGACGGTGCTTTACTTTTTAGAAAAGTAGACCAGAAATTCACTCATTTTTAAGCAACTTTTGAAAATGAAATGTGTTTTACAAACTGACAAATACAACAAATGATCAATGTTTAGAATATAGTCTATCCTTTAAATATAAATATGATCAAGATCATTTATGTTTTTAAATATAAAGAACATATAACACAAATTGCAACACAGAAATTTTGAACAGCTAATAATACTTACAATGCAATCATTTGAATAATATCATATTACTCAAATAATTATAACATCAATAATAATAAGTATAGGCTGTCTATAATTAAAGAACCCTATTTTAAAGCTGCATACAAGCGAAACCAGTGATCACAAAAATGTGAAATTTTGTGGCAGACTTAATGAAGGCATGAGAATGTCTTTTAGTGAGACAGACAGAAGAAAAAAAAATAGTTACATATAGCGTCACCAGAGGTCATTTGATGTTATGCAGCAGCCATTTTAAAACCTAGAAACATCTGCGGAGACTTTGTTTTCAACGTGCTTGTTGCTCACACTAAGAATATGTTTACAAGATTGCATTTTGTTAGTAAAATTATTTTACCAAAACAGCTGGCACTTTCGTAATGTGTGGCCTCGCCGATATCACGACCTCAATTCATGCGACTTTTGTCTTTGGGGACATTTGAAACATCTGGTAACTTGTGACAATATAAGAACTTTATCTGATCTTCATGCTCTGTGCTGAACATTTCCCAGTACACACTTTGGTCAACTGTGGAACATGCCATCTTGCGATTTCAGATAGTAGCTGAAAATGATGGCCATCATGTGGAACATGTTTTCTAATAACTAAATTTGTAAAAGTGTAAACCTACTGTAAAGGCGTAGCTAAATGTATAATTTATTAATGTAATGCCCTTTGGTGATGTTATTTATTATTATTTTTTGCTGAAACACATGTGCATCCCTTCATTAAGTCAGCCACAAAATTTCACAATTTTCTGACCCCTGGTTTCGCTTGCTTTGAATTAGGGTTCTTAAATTATAGACGTCCTGTATATTATTAAGAAAAGTTTTCATGAAATACTTTATAATTCAAAATTAAAAGTATATACAATTAAAAACATTTACATTGTTTTTTGAACCACAAACTGCACAACATTGACATCTTCTACAACACCAGTTTTCAAGGTTGTCTTCTTGCGGTACATCATCTTCAGACAAACAAAACGTATGATATGGTTCGCAGCAAAGGACACAAAATATTAACTGCAACAGAAAAGATGCTTTTAACAAATATACTTTGCTTTAATTATGAAGTTAAAATTAAATAATTTCATAAATTGCTGTTAATGTTATATTTATTAATAAATGCTAAAAAAAGGACATCTTAAATTATAAATAGCAATATTTTTACTCCATTCCATAACAATTTAAAAATTTCTTTTCTAAAGAAAATTTTATGTTAGTTTATAACTAAAACGCAGCTAAATAAATCGTGCAGTTTTAATTTTCACGCAGATGAGTTCGCCATCATCAACTGATATTTTAGTGCACTGTGTACGATCCCATACTTCCAAACCATTATTTTATTACATAAAAAAAAAAAAATTGTGTTTAACACAGTTGTCTTGAACTGCTGGCCCGCAGGCCACATGCAGCCCCAAAGCTATTTTATGCAGCCTACCAATACATTTCAGTCATGAATTTGTTTTAGTACTGTGCTTATAGATTTCGATATAACAAATTTGGGGGGCAGCAGATTGCAATATAGTGTTTTTTAAGAATATTTCAACAGTCACTACGTTCCAACTGAACTAAATGCTAGCACTGGTATACAGCCTAAAAGTATATATATAATAACAGCACTCTAACAGACCGGTTAAGGGGGGAAATGGATATTAATCATCACGTCAATGACAGTTTAAAATATAAATATAAGCAACGTTAGAAACATATGTATTGTGTTTATATGCAGGATTGTAAATAGAATGAATAGATTTATGATGTCATTTACAATCAATAAATTTATTTGCCAACCAACAGTCAGTAAAACTTTTATATTCTGGTGTGTATGCTTCCCCAGTTAGCTAAAATTTTAATTTCCTTGAGTCAGTCTATAGCTGGCATGGATGTTCAACTATGCATTCATACTGCTAAGCAGATAAAGGCAAATTAACATTCGGCTTAGAAAACCTGTTATTTGTGCTTGTTGTTAGATATGCATTATATTAATACTAATCACTTGAAACTGTGCAGAATGTTTGAGTATTTGGTTTCATATGAAAATTCATCTCACTGAATTAAAGTTGTAAACAAAATTATAATTGTGATTTTACTCATGAGATTAAACTGCAAAAAATTATTTAACAAAACACAAATGAACAGTGACAGAATAAGGATGTATTTTTCTAGATAAATGGGAAGTTATGGACTTTTGTGGCATTGTGCCCAATAAAACTGTATGTTTTATTTGTAATAAGAGAATATCAGTTTCCAAAAACTAGACATTAACGTCCGTATCCCAAAACGAATCATAGAGAAAAATCTGATACTTTGAAAGGTAAACTGAAGAATGAAAAATTACACTTTTTAAAATCCGGCTTACAACAATAAAATGTTTTTAAGGAAGTAAATAAATCCAGTGCAGGCACAGTCCATGCAAGTTTTACTCTTGCGCACATCATGGCAAAAAGATCAATACCATCTATTGGCAGTGAACACATTAAAGACTGATTAAATCTGCTGAACTTCTTTGTCCTGAACAACTAATTAAGAATAATAGGTTGTCAGTCAATTCAGAAGCATAACATACTAATAAAATCACTAATGATTTATATCAGTATTTTTACAGTAGCTGATGAGAGTACTGACACCACACAGATTTAGCACAGCTAGTTGTTTTCATATGAAATATTACTCAAAACAGCAGTTCAGGAAATACTGGAAATAATTCCTACAAAGGAAAAACTGTTGCACAGAATGGCAACATTTGCTGGCTCACTGTATTTAAACTTATTTCCTCAACTTTCATTGGAGATAATATTTCTCATTCAATCAATTCAGTTTTCCTTTGCGGCATGACAAAATTACATAAAAACTCAAATGTTTTCATAAAAAATTGTAATACACAGAAAAATGTAAAACACCAAATACAGTTATTTTTTTAAAAAAATCTGCTCCTCCCCAATTAAAATTTAGTTTTTACACCAAAAAAGAGCAGTTCGGCCAATGGGCAGAAGGAAAATTTTGTGCGTACAAAAAATTTAAGTTAACTTTTGGTCCCTTTGGCTAACAAGGCACTAAAGATAGTGCACCAAATTATTTAATTCATTATACTAAGAATTTCAAATGCAAACAAAAAGCAGTCACTTTAGGTCTACCACTTAATTTTTTTAATTTTTGATAACTCTACAACTATTGCACATACATTAACTAAAGGCATAAAAGTCTTACATGGAACATAACATACATGGAGCCTTACACGAAACAACATAATTCAACCACTTTTAAAGCAAAAATTTCACAATTTACCAACATATAAGAATATATATATATATATATATATAATGTTGTATGAACTTAAATCCATTTAGTGCGAATACAAGTTATTATTACTTGCGCAATTGCTGCAAAGTTAGTTAATAATAATTTATTTCCTAAACAGTATTGATTAATTGATTATATTATCTCCTAAGTTTAATTAAAGTAGAATTATTTTAAAAGTGTGCATCCATACTGGTAAGTTATATTTTGAAAGATGTTTTGAAGTAATTTGAAAGCAAAATGTAAGACTTTTATGCCTTTAGTTAATGTATGTGCAATGTTTTAACGGGGACTGGAGTTAAATCATCACGAAGAATAATATTACAATTGTAAAAGGAAAAATTAAAACATGTAATTATTGTCATTGATCGGAAATTAGTTGACTTTTCAAGGGGAACAAACCGACTCCCGTTCAATGAACAATAATTGATAAAAATACGTAAATATGAAAGTGTTTCGTCTTTACTCGAGTTATAAGTTAAAGCCAAACCGGCAATTCTAGTCAGGCCAAATATTTCCGCGAATAGTTGCTACTCAAAGAACTTATTCTCATGAAGCATTTTAGTCAATTCAATTTGGAGTAAAAATCAATTACTGTAGAGAAATCCTGTAAAACTCGAGTAACCGTCCCCAACACTATCATCTTTATGTATTTGAGTACTATATTATTTGTAGAAATTAAACATTGGAAATTGTCATTATGAAATCAAAATCAAAGTAAAGTTGAAATAAACATAGAAGATTATAAAAAAGATAATAAAAAAGATAAATAATGCAAACTTTGTAAAAACAAATCAAAGAAAACATAAAAATAATAAAGAGCTCACCAAGTATGAGGATGGGTGTGTGTGTATATATATATATATAAATATGTTTGTATTTGTTGTGGACAATTGCAACCCACACACAAAAAAAAAAGGAGTTGCACAATTAAGATATTAATAGCAGTCCCATATACAAAATTTCAGCATTCTTCGGTTAATCGTTTATGAATTATGCAAGACACATACATACATAAACATCACAAAAAAGATCTCTTCTAAATCTATTTAAAAATCTGTTCTGAAAGTCTTATTCTGTCCATGTGTGGTGATCACATGCAAAAAAATGCTCAAATGGATTCAAAAAAGATATTTGCATTGAAATATGATAACGGAAGGTTTTCGTGATTACAATATCTCCTTTCCTTCATACGAGGAAGTAAAAATTAGAAGCTTTGCTGATCTATTGGGAGACGCAATGAAAAATCTCACAGCAAAATCAGAACTCGCAAATTACGGAAAGAGCCCGTAACATCTATGTTAAAATCTTGTAACAGTCATATAGCTTTAAATCTACACTTAAAATAACTTCATAATTATTATAAAAATTACCAGTTCTGAAAGTGCAGGTACTCTTATAGTACTGCATGCAAGATCATACATAGCTACTTTTATTAGCAAATTATTAGCCAGTTATTTGTTAAAAATATAGAAAAAAAAAGTTAGTGAAAAGTATACAGAATACAAATTAAAAGGAACTGATTATTTAATCACTGGAGTTAAAGAATTATTACAGACTTTATCCCCTTCAATTTAAAATTATGATTAAGAAATACAATGATTATTATTTTTAATCACTTTAGCAAAGAGACACATAAATTGTGCTTGTTACCACAGAATATTGGTTATAAATATTAACACATGAGAGCAAGAGATACATTTTTTAGTCAAACTTTTTTAAATAACTAGTCAGCAAAAATAAGAATAATGAAAGAATATTTTTAAACTGTTTTGCAATGTACTAAATTTAGGATAAAAATCAATATTTATTTATTTACATAAGGAAGGCAGAAGAGAAAAATATCAGTAAATCTACTTCAATCCAAATGCCTTTTGAAGAATTAAAGAAAAAAAAATAGCATACCTTTTCTTCACCAGCACTACCGCACAAATAACAAACACATGGTAGTGGTATATGTTGAGATGAAATGAGGGCAAAACCTTGAGAGGAGATTCAAAATCATAATCCTCCTGAGGAAAAGAAAGACAAGTAACCAACATTGTAGATTAAAGTTCAATTTATAAATTATTACACAACCAAGCAATCAAAGGAAATTTTCAGCTATTAAGCATTCAGAATTATTACGCTTGCTCAAATAATTTTTGTTAATAACAACATTTTTAAGATCCACCCTGCATAAATATTTTAGTATGATCAAAATATTCTGACACATTTTTTCACAAAGTTATACTTTTCAAATAAACTTCAAATAAACAACTGCATGTACTTTTCAAATAAACTTAAGAGAATCGCCTGACATTCGAGTTCCAATGACAAAACATTGGAAAACTCTAAACTATGCCATAAAAGTAAACATATTAATTCCTTATACAGTACAAAGTCCGTAATCCGGACATCCATTACTCGGAATGATCTATAATCCGGACCTCAAAGCCACAATTTTTTTTTTTTTTTTTTTTTTTTTTTTTTTTTTTTGTATGCTTTACACATGCGCGTTTAATGTATAACGAACGGTATAAGCTAGGCTGAAATTACCTTCACTGTTTCTAAGGCATTTCAGTTAATGTTGCAGATTGTGCTGTTCCTTAATCTTCTAATTGGATCCAACTTATTATTTTTTGCAGAATGTTAGAGCAATTTTACAAAAATTAAACTTGAACTTTCGATTATGTCAAAAAGAGTTTCCAATTCTGGAGCTGCCAAAGGATCTACAAAGTGAAAGCATGTTTCGATGTCCATCAAACAAAAAGTGGAATTGCTATAAAAAATGGATAAAGGCATATCCTTCTCAGAATTATGCGAGGAGTATAGCATTGGAAAGTCAACTGTTTATGACAGAAGAAAAAAGAACTTTTAGAATTTTTTATGGAAGCAACTTAAACAACTTACATTAAAAGAAATGTTTAATAAAGTAAAGAAATAAGTATTAAGCTTTTTTTTTTTTTTTCCCTTGTATATTTTGATACCCTTTAGATCATAATTGCTCTTTATTTCATAAATTACGGTTTCATATTTTTAATTGATTAATTTCTGCATGCCATTTTACCAGATTTAAACTGATGATCTATAATCCCGAAAAACCCCTAATCCGGAATCGCCGAAGTCCCGATGAGTCCGGATTACGGACTTTGTACTGTATCATATGAAGCTAATAAATTTAAAAGCACGTTACACATATGCGCTATTATAATATTCTTTGGGAAATATATTTAAAATTTCTAAATGAGAAAGCACTAACATATTTAATGTTTCTTAAAATAAAAAGAATGATGATTAATTTGAATGTCCCTACTACTAATATACTATTTTAATATATCACTACTAATAATTTCCTGAACTTACCCAATAATCAGCATATATGTAATGCTTTTTCTTTTTACAATCATCATCATCATCCTCATCATCATCACCATTACTGTCTTGACCACCTGAACCTGCCGATCCATATGCATCCTAAATGAACAAACAAGTTTAAGCTCAAAGAAAAACATTCCAATTATTTATTACAATGCCACTGAAAACTCAAACAGATAAATGTAAATTTGCAAGGAAAAAACTGAAAACCTTAAGAATTTGAAAAGACAGAAGCATGCAGGTACACAAAAATCAGAGCTATATCAAATACAATGTAATTTCATGTAAATTACCTGATCTTGATTATACTGAATTTTCTTATAGCCGCTACTACTTTGCCTAGAGTTTTGATTCTTGGATCCACCAGAATAAGAGACAGTATCTTCATTTCCTTCCAGTGCTGCACCATACATTAAGGATGGAGCAAAACTAGCATTTTTTAGCTCAATAATACTTGACGAATCCTCATACAAAATGGTGTCACCAGTTTCTGAATACAGAGTGCTATCCATTTCTACACTGCCATCCATAAAAATTCTTTCCTGTGCAATATCAGATGATAAACTATCACATACCAAGTCTTGCAAACTAGTATCCACAATAAAATTATCACCATTATAAATAGATTCTTCAAAAATAGGATTAGTTACAACATTATCATCTGTGCACTCAGATTCTTGTAAAATGACTGGCTCAGAGACAATACTCTGCATAAGAGATGCATTTGCACAGCTGTCTGTTAAAGCATTATCATGAGGCACACTTATATTATCACTGCTACTGCTTGAACTTGAACTGCTGCTACTGCCGCTAGAACTACTGCTGCTACTGCTACCAGAACTGCCTGAGCTGGAGCTACTGGAAGATGAACTACAACTTGAACCGCAGCTGCTCCCATCAGGACTTGATGGAGAGCTAGAGGATGAAGTTAAAGAAGTGCCAATGCCAGAAGGACCATCACCTCCAAAGCTCGAGTGACCACCTGAAGGCTTACCTTTATCACCATTTTCATTTTGTAATACTTTTGAAGTTCTCCTTTCAGATGCAGGTAAAACTGGCCGTAAACATCGACGAAACCTATAAAAAAAGATAAGCTTAAATACTGGAATACTTACATACAGTTAAACAATGAAAGAAGAAAAAGATTCTGCAAGTTTTAACTGACTAGATAACTACATGAACGACCCAACCTGTAATAATAGGTTAAAAAGAGAAAAAAAAAAAAAATTTTTTTTTTTTCCAATCCCTGATTAAAACAATTTTACCCTTAAATCAATTTTCAAATCTTCTCAGGCAAACAGAAAGCTAATTCTCATTAAAGAATTAAATTGATTAAAATTTTTCAGTTTTTCTTTACAGATTTAAATTTTTGAATTAAATCCTGAGTACTGATTGTTATGACTGAAATCTTTAGGGAGGAAACTGACATTTAAATACGTTATTTAAGTTAAAACTCTGTTGCTGCAACTCAACATGATGATGAAAATATTGGTGTAATTATTGTAATTATTATTATAATCCTATTGGGAGGGAGGAAAATATTGCTCCCTCCCTCCCAATAGGAGGTACCAGCATTTTAATAAGGTAATACAAGCTGCTCAATCTTCTTGGTTCCATGGTTCTTCTTGATCTTTCTGCTGCTTTTGACAGAGTCTGGAGTCAGAAACTGATCAACCTTACAGGCATTACATCTAATGCTTTAATATGGATTAATGATTTTCTAAGGAAAAGAAGCTTTAAAGTCAGGGTTAATGGCAGTTTCTCCACCACTCACCATACTTAGCCCTCTTTTTTTTTTCCTTCTATACATGAATACGATTGACCCCCACATCAGTAAAGAAATCAAAGTTGCCTGTTATGCTGATGATGTTGCAGTCTGGAACACTCACTCAAATCTCTGAGTCTCACAAAAGGCTCTAAATATCTGTATGAAAGGCATTGAAATCTGGTCAAAAGATCTTAAAATTAATCCAGATAAAACAAATTTTTGTGTCTTCTCAACAGATAGAAAAAATAGAAGCTCGTTTCATCCTATTATAAAGCTATTAGGTTCTGAAATCAAACAAACTTCTAATCCCAAGTATCTTGGACTGACTCTAGATGCAGAGTTGAGATTCTCTAAACACCTTGAACATGTTTCGATAAAGGCACTGAAAAAGCTATACATCCTTAAAAGACTTTGCGGTGCCTCTTGGGGATCAAGACCAAAAACCCTCAAGAACACTTACACTTCCATTGTCAGGCCTGTTCTCGAATACGCAGCACCCATATGGGCATCGGTTAGGCCTACTGTTAAAGGAAAGATCGACGCTGTTCAATATAGGGCCTCTAAAATCATCACTGGAGCTGTTTCATCAACGAATAACATCAAAATTGAAAAGGAATGCGGCCTCGCCCCCTTGGAGAGCAGAAGAAAATTAATAACAATTAAATTTACCAACAAAATACAAACCCTTGCTGAACATCATATCTCAAGTAGAACCTTCAGGGCATGGAGTGACAATTGCAGGCTTGGCTTAAGAGATCCTCAACCCTCCAATATGACCAAGATATCAGAGATGACATCAACCACAAATATGAGACTCAAAATTTCCAAAGAGCCTTACAACATTCTGTGCCCTCTCCCTCAAACAAAAATTTATTTAAATCTCTTACAGCCTTGTACCAAGAAAGATCCCACTGCAATAATCAAAGAAAAGGGTGACATACCATTTGGGGAACTCACGACCTTAACTCAAGATCTCACGATCACCCACACAGACATCTCTTCCGACTCCAATCTGAACAGAGGAGGAATGGGAGTGTCCAGATAGAGTGCAGAAATGCCACAGTATTCCTGTTGGGAAAATCGCCTCCAACTATACATGCGAGCTCGTCGCCATCAAAAGTGCTCTGGAGATTTATCTCTCTAAAGAAGACCAGAGTTCCAAGGGCATCATCATCTTCTCTGACTGCAGATCAGCATTGCAAGCAAATCCAGAAGGGCAAATGTCAACTCAGTCATCAGATCATTGAACTCACAAATAAAATCATTGCTGCCTAAAGATCCTGCATCTTACAATGGATACCAGTTCATGTAAATATTTTTGGTAATGAGAAGGCCGATGAGCTTGCAAAGGCATCCCGTGAATCTCCTCAGCCATCCAACTGCCAATGCAGTTGCCAGCCATAGACTAATCGGTCAAGTTAAAGGAAACTTCATCCTGGAATTGAACTGTCAGGGTTCATACACATTTCTTCAGATGGAAATTAAGTACTTTTAAGGACCATTACTGAAAAAACTTAAGGACCTATGAGCAAATAGCAAATTAATAAATTCAATTAAAATATTATCTGTGCTTGAACTTCACTTTTGTAATACCACGCGAAAAACAAAATAGATCCGTAAGTAGTACGCATTATTATTAAACATAACTTAATTAACATAACTATTAATTAGTTTAAGCATAAAATATACTTTATGAAATTTATGAAACAGCATTAAATATTTTAGACTTACAATAGTTCAGTATATTTGAAAGAAGATAAGTAACATTTTATTTACATTTTACTAATAGTTAGTTTCATGTTAATTTTTTTTTATGTCTCATTACTTGCTTAGTAAATAGCAGGTAGATTTTATGTCAAGGGTCAAGCGATTTTATGTCAAGCGTTTAAAATGTGTGTGTGTGTGTGTGATTATGGCAAAGCCTCGACGGCTATCTGCCTAAAGGGGGGGATGCCTTCGTGGAGGACTTTCTAAGGGAAACTGGCTCGTATACACATTACACATGGGGAAAACCACGAAAACGCCCATGCAGCCAGCCCGTTCGCAGGATTCGAACCTCGGACCGAACTACCAGTGTTCAGCGACTTTACCGCTCGGCCAGTGATGGGCCCCATAGTTTAAAATGAGAAGTAAAATCATAATCCGAATGATTCATAACAAAAGACTGGCTGTTGTCACCGCTCCTGCTTGCCTAGAGAGAGACCTGAAACAAACCTGTAGGCACAGTAAGTTTTGAAAGTTAGCTGAGCTCTGTCTGAGGTGTCATAGCTTCGTGTAGAGTTCCAGGAGTTGTAACTCGGTTAATATACGAGGGCCATCCAGGAAGTAGATTACGTTTCCGTCTGTGTCCGCTAGGGGCGGGGCTAGCGCGGCCATCTTGGGGTCAGAGCGTTGCGCAGCTCAGTCTGCATCTAGCCGTGCTAGTGAGAGGTTCGTGCTGTGCTCCGTTCAGATACTGTGACGGTTTGAAATGTCTGCGTTAATTGAAAATCCCGCGAGCTGCGAGGTGCGCTCAGTAATAAGGTTTCTGACTGCAAAAAACTGTAAACCGATAGAAATCTATCGGCAGCTTCGTGAAGTGTATGGGGACAACATTATCACTGAAGGTGGAGTGCGTCAGTGGGTCATAAGATTTCAAAATGGCCGAACCAATGTTCACGACGAAGATCGAAGTGGGAGACCCAGCATAGTGACCGCCGAACTTCTCGAAAAAGTCGATGCTAAAGTCCGTGAAAATCGAAATTTCACAATAACGGAACTTTCTTTGAGTTTTCCACAAATTTCGCGAAGTTTGTTGCACGAAATCATCAGCGAAAAGCTTGGTTACCACAAGTTTTGTGCAAGATGGAAGGCAAGAAGAGGTAACGAAGTGGTTGAAGGCGCAGGCGGCCGAATTTTTCGACGAAGGAATTTCCAAGCTCGTACATCGCTACGATAAATGCCTTAATTTGTATGGTGACTATGTAGAAAAGTAGTATTTGAGTGTGGCTTTCATCTGTATATAATAAAATTTGTTTCCTATACTTTGTTTTATTTTTTATTCCAAAACGTAATCTACTTTCTGGATAGCCCTCGTACTTAAAGTTATTAAGCACTAAGCACTAGAGGTATAAGTTTTTTTATTTAAATTCATAATGCGAAGAATAACTTTATGAATTTTATTTTTGTTTTGTTCAAGTATCATTAAATATTTTACACTTATAATATAACTGGAATTTAAGAAGATAAACTATAATGTTAAGTTTTACTAACAGCTTTTTTATTTTTAATGTCTAATTTTGTCACATACTTGTTCAGTCTAGAGGTTTAGTTAATAGTAAGTAGATTTTATGTCAAGCAGCATAGGTTAAAAGGAGCGTTAAAATCATAATCGGCATGATTCATAACAAAAGACTGGCTGTTGTCACTGCTGCTCCTTACCTAGAGAGAGACCTGCTGATCAGAACAAAACTGAGAGGCTTAGTGGGCACGGTTAAGTAGTTTTGAAAGTTAGTTGGGCTCTGTCTGTTGCGGTTAGTGTCGTAGCTCCGTGTAGAGTTCCAGAGGTTGTAACCAAGTTAATATACTTTAAGGTTCCAATAAGCCACTAAAGCACCAGAGGTGACACTAAGTTGTTTTGTATTATTTTAGGTCTCACTAGATACTAAGAATAAGTTTTACATGAATTTTTACATTTTTGTGTTTAAACCTTGTGCCACGCTACGAAATAATGAAAGGCAATAACTCACTTCATTATGCAGAGATAATTTTTAAGAGTAAGCAGTTAGTTATGAATTAAATTATGTAGTTAGAAAACCTTAGTCAGTATGGATTTACATGATTACTATTATTTTTTTTATTTTTTATTTTTTAACAATATTGTTAAAAGTCCCTATTAAAATCCCAATCTAATAAAATTTCACACTTTAAAATACATGCAATTTATGTCATGATTCTTAAACGTTATTAGGATAATTATACATTAAAAGCTACAAAACATTTATGTTTTGTAGCAACAACACTCAACAAAATATTTATGCATCTTTTTAATTTGAAGCCTTCCCAGACATTTTGGCTTAATTTATATCAATTTTCTTCTCTTTAAACATCTTTCCTAACAATTAAAAATCTGTTTGAATACACAAACCAATGTTCTGACTAGTTTCTGTGTACTTTATCTCCAAAGTTATCAACCTCTCCACAATGTACCTATGAGGGTTTAATTAATTTGGTAAAAGTTAAATAGTCCAAAACTCCTGATAGACATGAAGCAAGTTATCACTATGTCTCAAAGTAACTACAAAGTCAGATAAACATTTAAATAAGCCTC